TGTGTTGCTTGCTGTGTGCGTAGTACTGAGCCTTGTACGTCAGTAACTAGCAGTCCGATGTCTCTGGAAAGCCTGATGTCTGCTGCGTTAGCTGGACGGGAAATTTGGTTGCTTTGTTAACTTTCTGGACTGCTTAGGTCTCCGTCAGGAGGCAGTGGAAGATACAATTTCCGGACCCGGCGTTTGTTTGCTCAGTCTACTCTCAGTACACAATTTACTAGCAACACTGTTGGCAACGAACCCTCATACCGTGTTTGATTCGTCTTTTAGCCATGGAGACAATTGGGCTCCTACCCTTGTCAAAGTAATGGGAAAGAGGGTTAAAAAGTGGCAAAACCTAAGGCGGATGTACCATGTCCGTCGGGTTCCGTATCCCCATTCCCCTCCATTTCTACTGCAGCTGTATCATCCAAGGTTGATTCGTCTACGACGTTGGAGTCCAAAAAGTCGACGCTAATGCGAACCCGCCAAAGTCAACAGAGCGTTTGGTAAGTACGCCGACTTGTTCGATTTCGTATACTAATTGCAACGCTATTTTCAGTATTGCCACGAAGTCATGCTGCTCTTCTAAAGGAGCATATGCCAGATGAGCTTTATTTCTTTAAGATATGGGTTAAACTTTACTGCTGTGCTTTTCCAGCGTCAGTGTGCGAAAACTCACCAGACTTAGTAGCTTGTCGACTGAGAAAGCTGTTGTACGTTGCTCGATCCGCTCCAGAGGTACACGAAGCTCTTCTACCTTTTGCCTTTAATCTCAAAAGCACTGGTGTCATGTTGCACTTAGATCTCGCTTTAACGGAGATGTTGAAATTGCGGTTGGCTGTGGGATATTGAAGCCCGTCGTGAAGCCTGAGAAAAGACCACTTAGTTGATTTTTGGGCGGTGAGCCGGCGGCGCACTTCCTTCCTGCCAGAACCGGTTCCGATGGCGCACGATCACAGGCACACGTTAGTGGTGATGAAATTTATTCGCCCCCACTTGAACTGCCAGAATTTCTCCTGCAATGCCTTTTCAATTGGTTTTGCTAATGAGTTCGCTATCTAGTCATGCATGCTCCTCTGAATCCGTTCATTGAGTTGCCCATTAGTTTTATGATAAGACAAAACCCGTCCCTTTTTGTCCATTGCTAATAAATTCCCTGACTTCGTCATGGAGGTGGTATACAACATAGAAGTCAAAGTAACGTGGGCTATCGTTCGCTTACCTGTGCATGAAACAAAACGCTCGTTATGCAGAGGCCTGTATCGTCCTTGGAACCTGACCTGACCTCTCGGTGCTGATCACCACGCTCGTCAGTAGCTTAAGTGCGCGTATGGCGAATAAGCATCTCCACGTAGTCCATATATATGACTCCCCAAGCAGGGAGCTTAGTCTACCCGGGGCCAAATTAGAAATAACGGCATTCATGCTTACACTTTGTGGGGTGTAGGCACTGATGATAAACTGACACCAAACAGCCACGCGCGACTTCAAACCTTTAAACGAGTCTGCCAGCCGGACCGCACACATCCGTCGACTGAGTGCGATGCAACTCTGTCTGCCAAATGGTATTCACCTACAAGGAGCGATTGCGCATGTCGTCCGCTTTACTGCAGGTAAGTGTACCGCATATATACACCTGGCTTTTAGACCGCCAGTATACATGCGCCGCCCGGATTCCTTGTTTGGTAGTGCAATCCTGTCTCGGAGTGCATGACGCACTTCTTTTCAAGGGGTACAAACCATTTCTCAGTGTTCAAGCCTTGTGGGTTACGCTGACCCGCAAGGTCGGGAATTTTTGTCAACGGATTGAAAGTCATAAAACATTACTGCATTATGCTCCTTTACTTCGATTAGCCAATTCCGTCAAACATTGGTTATCATGTGACACTACTACGTACTTGACGCATATTGGTGACTGCCAGCACCTTGCATACACCATTGCAGTAATCCTGCCTCACCTTTACGCAGTCTACGTCTATTGCTTTGAAGTTCATCTTCCGTCTGTCCGTAAACTAGCGGATGGCAGCAATGATGTGTGGCAGAAATGGACGCCACCTCATTTCGGAAAGCAACTGCAGGTGATATTTCTCTGCTCAGAAGGTCCGCACTTGCGGTCTATTTTTCTTCTATGTTGCACCCGTCCGAATGCACCCTAGTCACAGACTGCCAGGTGGCACGGCCATGCTAGGTGATCATGTGTTTGTCACCGAATCCAACGGCTTTTTTATTTCAGATAATCATCTCCTGCACATATATATTGCGAGATGCATGCTGACTCCTGGATGTGCACAACCTCGGCACCTCTTGAATGTGTAAGTCAACCTTGCGGTACATCGATGCAAATTAGTGTCCGGTGTGTTTGTGGCACAATTTGCAATACACCGTTCCTCAATGCTTGCGCATTGTGGGTCAAGAGTGCAGAAAGCGCTCCACATAATGACGTGAATATATGGAATCGGTACAAAGGTCCGCCTTGGATTTCACGACAGTTTCTCTTTCGTTACCATGTTGCATGGATTGGGCCATATTTCAGTGATTATATAGCGATAGGGATGTCAAACATTTGCATTCCATGACCCGAAAAATGAAATTAAGTTTGAGCCGCGTAAACCTTGCACCAATGATATTGATAAAACCCAGTCCATGCATGCTTATATGGGCACGGGAACCAACGTTCATGGTGGAGGGTGAAGTTCGAAGTCTCTTTTTTATTAGCAGTGGTACTGATGACACCGCTGTGACGCCAACATGGGCTCAATAAACGCCGTTGGCGAACGTCGGTGGAGCCAACAATATCCGCTACGCTAGTCGCCATAATGGAACACATACTACAGGACAAATGTAGGATAACTACGGATACGTCTAGAAGATACGTGCAGCCAGGGTTCGTAGTTTACTTCGTGGAAATATTGATGTCAGTGTCTTGGGACGTATATGGACTAAGTAACCACCGTTCAGAGAGGCTTGTAGAGCTACCGGCAATATTGATGTACCTCTGTTGCACATACATAGGCTTACGCTAGTGAAGCCAACATGGATGCCGGTTAATCTGCGAGCATGCCGCCCCTGTTATGGGATCTCTAATACTTCTCCGTGCACTGGTCATACGGGCGAGGCAACCAATAGAGTCTCCCTCAGTGCCGACAGTAGTACCACATCTGTGGCTGTTATATAGGCTTCCTAAGCACACATCAAGTTGGAATGAATATCCAGCTATATGGCATCATGTCTCCCGCTACTTGCAACATGCCGCTTCCCTGTACATCATTCAGCAGTGCTCCAGTACGTGACCACATGGGCAAATATTATTGTGCAGGGCCTGATTTACGTGTATTTCGAAGTAACTTGTCCACCGCGCCTCTTGCTCACTGTACCAACGTCACTAAGCCTAAACTAAGTACGTCGTACGAAAACTAAACTAAAAACTACGAACAGATAAACCTAGACTTAACGCACGGTCTGGGCAGAAGAAGAAAACGAATTATCCTGTAACCGTGGTTCTATAAGTCATAATAAATACAGTACATGACTTACGAATAGGTTTCGCAATCGTAATGCAAGTGGGCAGAAACTGTCCAGCGTGGGGCGGATCGAGTATTCGGGCAGTGTCACAGTAACACAATAATAAGAATGCCCTTGAAACCTCAAGGAGGTGTCAGTGATGGAGTGTAAGAAATAAATATGCGATATGTTAACCGCTTGTAAAACACAGAAAAGCAGTGCAAATGTGCAAGATAATCAGGGAAAAGAGATACCGTGTCCTCAGGTAAGCAATCCAGTTTGGGGATACATCAAAGTTCCTTTTGGACTTTACACTCTCCCGGCGGTTTCCTATCCCGGACGATGGCTTCCACGGCATCATTATCTTCTTCCTGGTACGCTTCTAGTAGGCACAGCTGTCTGACGTCTCTTCGCAATATGCCTTTGCTAGTTCTCACCAGTGCTTGTCGAACCAGTTGGTCTTTGCTCTTGATAACTTGCTCCACAACACCCTTAGGCCACAGACCTCTTGATGTGCGTAAATCACAAACTAAAACCAAATCGCCCTGTCTAAGATCTCGAATTTCATTTAACCACTTCTGTCTACTCTGCAGTGTCGGTAGGTATACTCTAATTCACCTACGCCAAAACATATCAGACAGATGTCTTACCTGTCTCCACCTTCTGCTCATTTTGATTGGTAAATTGATCGGTGGGTATTCAAGCGACTGGTCATTTGAAAGCGTTAGTAGTTGCCGAGGTGATATAGCATCTTGCGAGTCCGGGGAGTCAGCTACCGTTACCAAAGGCCTGTCATTCAATATCCTTACGATCTCGGTGAGTGTCGTTACAACTACCTCTTCGGTCCCAACCTCGCCGTTGAGAATGTTCCGTAATAATTCACGAGTCGATCGAATTAATCGTTCCCAAAGACCTCCGCGATGGCTAGCACATGGAGGATTGAATTTCCAGTCAACCTCTCTAGCCAACATAGACTTTGTGATCTTCGTCTGATCTAGCTGCTTCAGAAGATTGCGTAATTCTGCTTCAGCTCCGTGGAAATTCTGTCCATTATCGCTGTATATTACAGTCGGTCATCCGCGTCTAGCTGAAAACCTCGAAAACGCGCACAAGAACGAATCGGTATCCATGGAGTGGGAAACCTCTATGTGAACAGCCCGTGTAGTCAAGCAACTGAACAAACAGCCATATCTCTTTTCATGTACTCGGCCACGTTTCACTATCAGCGGTCCAAAATAGTCGATCCCCACTGCAGTGCACGCTGGTTCGTAGGTCAGACATTGGTCCGTTATCACTGGTGCCATCAGCTGACTCAGTGGCTTCGCATGGTTAACGCGACATTTGGCACATTTGAAAAGCAAGTGCCTTATGGATGAAAGCCCACCCAAGATCCAGTAGCGTCGTTGAAGATCGTATAGCGTGTGCTGCGCACCAGAGTGTCCATTGATGTAGTGGTAGTGAAGTATAAGAAGGCGAGTGACAAAGTGGTGGCCGGGAAGTAAAATCGGATGTCTCGCGTCATATGGTACCGAGAGTTGATCCAACCTTCCGCCCACCCGAAGTATCCCATTAATGAGGAAGGGCTTGAGTCGTCTTAATCTGCATGACCTGGATTTTAAATTTCGAACTAGTATGGCGGGTTCGTTGTATGCAAGGAGGCGCATCTCCTCCGCAAAAGCTTCTGACTGCACCAACTTAACTATCTGAAGCGTAGCTTGTCGAATTTCAGCACTTTCTATTTTAGCTGGTTGGTCAGGTGCAGCGCGCCTCAAGTATTTGGCGACGAAATAAGATTTGAATCGCAACAAGGTAACGAAATATTTGCGCAGGGAAGTCCATGTCGGGCAAGCCTTAAATTTATTAATCCAGTGCTCCTCCAAGGTGACTAAGAAAACATGACCAACCTCAGGTCGTAACCATTCAAGCGGCAATTCACCCAGATTCTCCGGATACATAGGCCATGAGGAAGGGGGCTGAACGAGAAACTGTGGCTCGTGTAACCATTGGTGTATTTCCTTCTTGAGCGACGTCGAGAGTCCACGTGAGGCTATATCAGCCGGGTTCTGCTTCGAATTTACGTAACGCCACTGACTGGGGTGAGAGTATTGTTGTATAGTGGTAATCCGGTTAGCAACATCCGTCGGAAAACGCCCATTAACACTTCGAAGGAGCTTAAGAACTACCATCGAGTCTGTCCAAAACGTTGTGCTACAATGAAGTGCCATCTCCTCTATGACTTTCGCTGACATGTGCACGTTCAGTACGGCAGCAGTGAGCTCCAACCTCGGTATCGACACCGTTCTAATGGGACTGACACGTGATTTACTAATAATCAGGGAACTACTAACCTTGCCTTCATGATCATCGCAACGCAAGTATAGAGCAGCACCGTAACCAGCCTCAGACGCATCCGAAAAACAATGCAACTGCACAGAAGATACACTGCATCCGAATGGATTAATACAACGTTCAACGGACAAGTTGTTCAGACCAGTGGCGTTTGATAACCATTTGCTCCAAGCTTGTTGATCCTCTGCGGGAAGAGGCTCATCCCAATCCAGCTTCCTTTTTACGAAGCTCTGTAACAATAGCTTTGCCGGAAGTAGCACGGGAGCAATGAGGCCGAGAGGATCATAAACGGAAGCTATAAACGAGAGGATGGCTCTTCGGGTCAACGTTTTATTAAAACCTTCCAGCAGAAAAGTTAGGTGGTCCTGGGTAACGTTCCAATTTAAACCAATCGCAGTTGTAACACAATCTTCCCCAGTCGAATATCTTATTCCAGGAACCTTCAGTTCGCAGTCAAGCAGATGCGCGATAACCTCCTTTCGATTGCTGATCCATTTCGTCAAATGAAATCCTCCGTCAGACAGAATACGGGTAAGATGTATAAC